ACCTAAGTGAGCGAGTCCAATTGCGATTAGGGTTAATTAAGATTTCTGCTATAAGTAATCATGTTACCCTAATTTCAGATGTATTCTGAAACTTTCTATCTCGGTGATAAAATCAGTCTCCTTTGCCCGTAGACGTAGCCAACACATCGTTGGTGAACTACGTTAATTCTGTGTGTGATAATTACGTTTACTGCTTTCTTCTTGCATCTGTTACAACACCTCAAGAATACTGTATCACAATTACCATCAACGAAGAACACTGACCGAGGAATATCTATGCTTTTAAAAGTCATGCTATCAATAAATAAACTAAATCCATACATACCCACATGTAAACTATATCATGGTATTAATAAGAGTGTTATAATGAAAAATAATTAAAAAATACATAAAGATGACATCCTCGGTTGACATCTTTGAGACGGTTGACACCCTCCCCCGCTGCTACGTATAGAAGAACATCAACTAATCCCACAAACAGCACCACGTCCATAAAATATATTGAACGACACAATAATGTCGTGAATCTGCTCGTGAGACACAAACATCCTGCCAACAAACCTAGCAGAGTCTGTATATAGAGAACGATGTTGGAAGTGTAAAATGACGACCAATGTTCCTTACTAAGGAACAAACGATTCTTTCAACCCATGGATTTAGAGCTGCTGGAGCTCCAGTAGCATATAAAATAATATACCTGAAATGTAAGTTTAGGTAGTGAGAGGGAGAATGGAAAAACTTGCTTTTTTTTTTCTTTGATCTTCTGTGTATTTACGTTTTTTTTTCTTTTAATTTATGTATATTTGAATGTAGTAGCATTCTAGATATATATAGACTTACTTTAATAATTAAATATTTAATTAAAAAAAATAAAAAAATTGATTATCATGTGCATTTTTCAAGGAATCACTGGATAAATGGGTGGATCGTTTTGAAGTGCGGTCCGGCTCTTTATCCACTGGATAAAACCACGAATGATTCTTTAAAAAAATTGCAACTTTTACTAAAATTTTCTAATTGATGAAATATGTGCGTTTTTTAAAAAAAAACTCCTTCGTAAAATTCTCTAAACGTAAAATCAAACTCAGTTCCCTCTGAATTGCAGCCTCTAAATCCTCCAACAATGGAATGCGATGAAGAAAAAGAACTGTCTAACCCTAATTTGATTTTGGAAGTTTAATTTATCCCTAATTGAATACACCATCATTTTATTTTATTTTTTCAAATTTAGACATACATACCAATAATATATAAATGAATTTGTAAGAAAAACCAATAATTTATCATGGTTCAACTGGTCTGCATGCTAGAATATGGTTTACAGTATCTTTGGTTCCAGTTCAGGAAAGAGAAAAAAAATTATATATATTTTTTTATAAAAATGACGTTGTTTTAGTAAGGTGACAACGTGTCATGCCAAGTTATATTTCGTCTTACTTTGTTAGCATCTTTTAAGTTTTAACAGTTGACTAATATCAAAGTTAATTAAGGTAGATTTTGACACATAAATTAGAGTTCAGGTAAGAAATTTAAACTATTTTGGAATACGGGTTGTTATTAGCACCGTATTTTATTTTCAAATTTTTTTTCAGCACACCAGATTTAATATAAGGTTGTTTTGGCCTTTTTTCCATGATTATAGTGGTGTATATAGAGTGCTTGTTATTGTTATTACTAGATATATGATATTTCGCGCAACGCGCACGAGTTGTTATATTTGTTTTCTCATATATACTTTCAACCTATTATTTATGTTGTAACTTGTATTTATGTTTTAGTTTTTCTATTTTAATGAAAACATATGTTTTATAAATGTAACAGTCATTCGGTAATATATGCAAATGCAAAAGAGACAAATATACTGTAGAATTGTGTGGTATGGTTAGACCAAAATATACTATTTATTTTCAAAAATAAAATATGTATGAATAAATGACCACTTATAATGATTTTATGTTTGTGAAAAAATAAAATAGCACATACGTTATTTAGTGTGATATATACTTTGATTGCATCAACTGAATGTGGTCTTTAATTGTGTAGATAAATGTAGTCTTCTACGTTATCCAAGACTTTTATCATTTGTTGTATGGATTTCCATTTTCTGAGTGCTGAATATGGTCATTAAAAATAGTAAATTTTGCATTTAAGAAATAAAAATTAGTGATATGATCGTTTGCAATTTAAAAACATTATTAAAAAATTAAGGTCTAACAAATATTCAAAAGAAAAAAAAAAGATTAGAGTTTCTTTTTTTATAAAAAAATGAATTCACGTTAATTCACCTTCAGTGGATGTTAAATAAAATTTGAACTCCGATTATTTTCCAAAAATATAGTGTTAGCTATGTTCCAAAAAAAAACTATGATAAACCACAAGCAATTAGCTATTTCTGAAAGATGAACAATTACAAAATATAATATCGATTAAAAAATTAAATACTAAACTTACAAAAATAACAAATGAAAATATAAAATTATATAACAGAAAGATAAAATTTAAAAAATTGTAAAAATAGCAAACATAAAGCTTATAATGATTACAAAATTTAAAAAGACGGTATAAGAATTATAAAACTTAACAACTAAAATACAGAAGAAGAAGAATCAAAAATCAACTGGAAACCAAAATCACATTTTTGTATCGGTTTTTGATTTCTCCTTTATGATTTTTATCGCCGATCCTAATTTTATTTCTCTTATTTTATTCTCGCTATCTTTTTGTATATGGTGGTAATAAACTAATAGTAATGAAAGACCAATATATTTATATATACAGTATAACCTCTATAAATTAATACTCTATAAATTAATAATTGTTATAAAATAATAAATTTTGTCGGTCTCAAGTCGGGCCAATGTAAAAATTGATCAAATTCGTTAAGATAATAAGATAATAATTTTCAAAAAAATTTCATATAAATATATGGTCCCAACAAAAACATAAATTAATAATTGTATAAATTTATGCAAATCTATGTAATATACTATACTAAAATATGACTAATGTATTTGGTTTTTATTTAAAATTGAAATTTTATTGGTATTTATCTCTTTACTTATTATTTTTCCGATATGTATTCAAATTTGTGAAGATTTTTGATGTGATAATTGATTTTTTTATACATAAATATTTACAAATGTATTGTAATATTGTTTTTAATTTTATTATAAAAAATAAAAATAATATTCATGGTTTCTTATAAATTTTGAACTTGTAAACATGTATATTTTTATGGATAAATTAATATGCTATTAAAAATTATTTTGTTATGACAACTATATTTATTTATCATATTTTTTAACAAGATATTCGCTTAAAATTTTAAATATAATATTATTTGAAATAATTTTTTAGAAAATTATACACAAAAATCAAATTATTTTTATAAATTAATTTATTGATAAATTAATATCATGATAAATCAATAAAATTTCACAGTCCCAACATTTTTAATTTATAGATATTTTACTGTATATATGAAGTAGTTTAATAAAAAATATATGAATTTGAAGCATGAGGTTGTGAAAGAGGAAAACTTGCTTTATATATTTAAGAAATGAGGATTAACCTTTTAGTTCTTTTTTGTTTAACTTGTAAGTTACATGTCAATTAAGTGGTCAATCAATTGAGTTTAATTGAGATTTAAAATGTAGGTTACAAAATTAAATTGTTAAAGATTCTCAATAATCATGATGATTATTTGATAATGACATGATTTACTTGGTCTTTTAATTGTGTACATAAGATAGATTTATTTATTTATATATATGAAAATCTTTGTAGATCTTATTTATCTGATTTCTTAAAATCTTATATGAATAATAAGTTTTGTTAGTGGATGTGTGGAATTATATTAAGCTTAGTTGGATGATTTGATTGTTTTTATTTTAATCTCATAATTATTAAAGAAATTGTTAATGGGGGTGGTCAAATAATGTTATTAGTCTTAGTTAGTATTTATTTGCTATATTGATGGATGATTTTGTGAGTTATGAATTAAACATTAATGTTATTAGTCTTAATTAGTATTTATTTTCTATAATGATAGATGATTTTGTTAATTATAATTTTTTAATTGTAAATAAGAGATTATATATATATATATTTATATATATATTTATAAATATAAATGCCAAATGGCCCAATAAGAAGAGTGTGAAATCTTTCTTTTATGTATAACTTTTTTTTGTGTTTTTGATTGGTCAGGTTTAACCGAATTTAGATATTATCAAGCTATATTGGGTTGGTTCTGAATCTATTTTGATGCATGCATACCATTATATAATTTGGCGGGGAGAACTAGATAATGTTGAGTTTGGAGAACCTAAAATCATTTGATTTGAATTACCTGCACTAAAAATATGTATTGATCGAGCCAAAAAAAAATTAGAAATATTTGAGTTTTGTTGTGATTGTTATTAAAATTAACTGTAATACTCTCAACTAAAATCATGAGATTTAAATTTGTATATATTTAATTAAAAATCTTCATTCGACCATAAATTTTTTTTTAGAAACTCCACGATAGCACATCGAAATCAATAAACAAATCCACTAAAATTCTGTATTTTTAAAAATATTATAATAATTGTTATAAATATTTTGATTATAAATTTGGATAGCTTTCTCCTCAAGCTTCTTAGCTTCTAAATATTCATCCCCTTTAGACATTCATCCTCTTTAGACATTTATCCCCCTTGGACATTCATCCCCTTTAGACATTCATCTCCCCTAGATCACTTTGTCCCCAAGTTTCTAAAGCTTTGTCTCCAAGCTTCTCCACTATATATAGGTGGGCTTGAAAGAAAATATAAGAGATCTTGATATTGTTTTTCATTCTCTATCTAACTCTCTCTCTCTAAGTCTTTCTTCTCTAGTGTTTACTTATATACGAATGAATTCCCGAAATTGTTCTTTACACGTTATCAGCACGACGTTCTACTTGCTCGTTCGTATACGGAAAACAAGATCATCTCTCCGTTCAATTTGAAGTTATCATGACAAATTTGGCAAAACTTGAGATCCATGCTCTTGATGTGTCTGGGAAGAATTACATGTCATGGGCAGTAGGTGCAAAAATGCATCTAAGAGGAAATGAGCTTCTCAAAGCTATCGACAAGTCGGAAACGACATCAGATGAGAAAAAGGCGAAAGCTATGATCTTTTTGCTCCACCACATCCATGATGATTTAAAAGAGGAATACATCACGAAAGAAGATCCTGCAGATCTTTGGCAGTTATTAAAAGACAGGTTTGATCACCAGAAATACGTGATCTTACCGAGAGCCAAGCATGACTGGTTGAATCTCCGGTTCCAGGATTAAAAAAGTGTTGGTGAATATAATTCCGCGATGTTCGGAATCACCTCCACGATGATGTTATGTGGAGCTGAAGTAAGTGATTTCGATATGATCGAAAAAACTCTCCAAACATTCCATCCTGGAAATGTAATCCTGCAGCAACAATACTAGGCGAAAGGATACACCACTTACTCGGAGTTGATGCATGTCCTCCTTGTGGCTGAACAAAATAACCAGCTCGTGATGTTAAACCACCAAACTCGTCCAACTGGATCAACGCCATTCCCTGAAGCGAATGTTGCGTCATCCAATCAAAATAATACAAGAGGACGCGGACGCGGACGCAGATACGGTCGAGGCCGAGGTCGCGGTCACGGACGAGGTCGTGGACAAGGAAGAGAAAATGATGTTGGTCGGGAAGCAGACAAACAAAAAGAAATTGCTTGCTACAGATGCGACATGAAAAATCATTGGACAAAAACGTGTCGTACGCCAAGACATTTAGCCGATCTGTACCGAGCATCACAAAATGCCAAAAAAAAGGATAAAGGAAAGGATTTTGAAACCAATTTCATCTCTGATGAAGTCGGACCCTCCTTTGATGGCAGAAGTGACGCCACTCATCTTGATGTCGCAGATTTCCTCGTTGATCCAGAAGAATCAACAGAAAGGAAACGACTGAGATCGATGTAACTTAGTGCCTTCCTAGAGAAAACATGAAAAAAAAATTATAATCTAGTATTTCTTTTTCAATTAAAAAAAAAAATACTTTTGTAGTCTTTTGTTAAAAGGATGTTTTTTGATGTAAAATAACTTTTAAGGTTTATGTATCGGTTTAATAATATATTTATCTTTATGATAATTTTGATCCAGAAAATGTCGCAGTTTGAGATTCAGGATGGAGATACTTGTCTAGCAGATAGTGCTACAACACACACAATAATAACAGACAAAAAGTATTTCTCCTATCTCAAAATAAAGGACTCCTCCGGAAGCGTGAGTACCATATCTGATAATGCAAAGATTATATTAGGCTCTGGAAGAACAAGTTTTTCAATGCTAAGGGGGACTAAATTTGAAGTGCAAGACGCATTATATTCCCTTGAGTCTCTTAGAAACGTGTTAAGTTTTAAGGATATCCGTAGTAATGGATATCATATAGAGACTATGAATAAAAATGGTATTGAATATCTTTGCATTACATCTGCGAGTAGACATGTATTGGAAGAATTACCAATGATGTCCTCCGGACTATATTGCACAAAAATAAATATGACTGAATCTTATGTTACAGTGAACCCTAAGTTTACTAGTACATTTAGAGTATGGCATGAAAGATTTGGCCATCTGGGATCAGTCATGATGAGAAAGATAGTGCAAAATTCAAGTGGCCACCCATTGAAAAACCAGAAGATTTTTCAATCGGGAGAGTTTTCATGTAAAGCATGATCTCAAGGAAAACTCATAATTAGGCCCTCGCCAGCCAAAGTTGGGAATGAATCTCCTGTATTCTTAGAGAGAATACATGGTGATATATGTGGCCGATTCATCCACCATGCGGGCCATTCAGATATTTCATGGTATTAATTGACGCATCCAGTAGATGGTCACATGTGTGTCTATTGACCACAAGAAATATGGCTTTCAAAAGATTCATTGCCCAAATAATCAGGTTGAGATCACAATTCACTGATTATGCCATAAATAAAGTCAGGCTAGACAACGCTGGTGAATTCACTTCAGCGGCCTTTAATGACTATTGCATGTCACTGGGAATCGATGTTGAGCATCCGGTTCCACATGTTCATACACAAAATGGCATGGCTGAGTCTTTGATTAAACGGTTGCAGTTAATTGCAAGACCGTTAATATTGAGAACAAAGCTCCCAATTACTGTATGGGGACATGCAATATTGCATGCTGGGGCATTGGTCCAGATGAGGCCAAGTGCATATAATAAATATTCCCCAATACAGTTAACATCGGGCAAGGAGCCAAATGTGTCCCATATCCGTATTTATGGATGTGCGGTTTATGTCCCAATAGCCCCACCGCAAAGAACAAAAATTGGGCCACAGAGGAGATTGGGAATATATATCGGCTATACGTCCCCAAGTATAATTAGGTATCTTGAACCAGTAACTGGAGATATGTTTACGGCACGTTTTTCCGATTGTCACTTTGATGAAAGTGAATTCCCTGCGTTGGGGGGAGGATCTAGAGAATCACCAAAAGATATCACATGGTGTACATAAACTTTGGCTTATCTTGATCCTCCTACCAATCAACGCGAGGTGGAAGTTCAGAAAATAATACAATTACAAAGTTTGGCAAACCAGTTACCTGATGCGTTCACAGATACGAGAAGAGTGACAAAGTCTTATATCCCCGCTGCTAATGCTCGATCAAAATTAAATGTTCCGGAACAATGTATTAATGAAAATAGAGCAATTGAACCGCAGGTTCAATTAAAGCGCAGGAGGCCGATAGGCTCGAAGGATAAAAATCTCCGAAAGAAAAAAAATTGGGAGACAAGGTTCCAGAAGAACCGAATAAAGAAAAATGTCCAGAAAACATTTGTGGAAAGGTTCAAGAAGAACCAGATAAAGAGGTTTGTCCAGAAGACGAACCCGATACTGAAAAATATGAGATATCCATTAACTTCGCCCAAAGTGGGACATTATGGGCTAGAAGCAAGATAGATGATACAAATGGAATGTTCTCTTTTTCGGTATCCAGAGAAATAGATCATGAAGATGATCCAGACCCAAGGTCTGTGTCAGAGTGCCAGAAAAGGCCTGACAAGAAGAAATGGTAAGAGGCCATGAAAAATGAATTATTCTCCCTGAATAAAAGAATTGTCTTTGGACCTGTAGTCATTACACCTGAAGATGTAATGCCAGTTGGATGTAGATGGATCTTTGTGAGAAAGAGAAATGAGAAAAACGAGGTCACAAGGTATAAAGCACGACTCGTTGCACAAGGTATTTCTCAAAAACGAGGAATTGATTATGAAGAGACATATTCTCCGGTTATGGATGCAGTAGTCACATTCAGGTACTTAATGAGCCTAACAGCATCTAAAAGTTTAGTGATGTACCTGATGGATGTGGTGACTGCATACCTATATGGTTCACTTGATAGTGACATATACATGAAAATCCCAGAAGGATTAAAGATCCCAGAAGGATCAAAGATGTCGGAAGCATCTAGAGAAATATGTTCGGTCAAACTACATCGATCACTTTACGGACTTAAACAGTCTGGACGCATGTGGTATAATCGCCTAAGTGAATACTTGTTGAGTAAAGGATACATCAACAACGCGATATGCCCTCGTGTATTTATTAAGAAATCCGCATCAGGATTTGTGATCATTGCTGTATATGTTGATGACCTGAACATAATTGAAACTCGAAAGGAGATTGATGATGCACGAACTCATGTGAAAGAAGAGTTCGAAATGAAAGATCTTGGAAAGACAAAACTTTATCTAGGGCTCCAGATAGAGCATTTCCAAGATGGAATATTTGTGCATCAATCAAATTACACCAAAATGGTGTTAAATCGCTTTAATATGGATAAAGCAACTCCGTTGAGTACTCCAATGGTCAATAGATCGCTTGCTGTTGACAAGGATCCATTTTGACCTTGTGAAGATAACGAAGAAATATTAGGTCCTGGAGTACATTATTTGAGTGCTATTGGCGGATTAATGTACCTTGCAAATTGTACTCGACCAGATATAGCCTTCGCTACCAACCTACTTGCAAGATACAATGCATCCCCTACGTGGAGACATTGGAATGGAATAAAGCACATCTTCTGTTATCTACGAGGTATGATTGACTTAGGCCTATTTATTCAAAAAACCCTGAGGTTGGTCTAGTTGGTTTTGCAGATGCAGGATACTTGTCAGATCCGCATAATGCACGATCGCAAACAGGATATGTTTTCACCTTTGGTGGAACGACGATCTCGTGACATTCTCAAAAACAGACTTTGGTCGCCACTTCTTCAAATTATGCAGAGATTATTGCGCTTCACGAAGCATGCAGAGAGTGTGTGTGGTTAAGATCAATGACTCAACACATACAAGAATCAAATAATCAAAGATAGGGAACCCACAAAAGTATTTGAAGACAATGCTGCTTACGTCGCCCAAATTAAAGAAGGTTATATCAAGAGCGACAGGACAAAACATATTCCTCCAAGATTTCTTTCATATACTTAAGAACCCGAGAAAAACGGAGATGTCGATGTCCAATACATTTGTTTAAGCAACAATGCAGCAGACCTCTTCACAAAGGCGCTTCCTACTGCAGTATTCAGAAAACATATTTACAAGATTGGAATGCGTCATCTACGAAACTTGTGAAGAGAAGAATATATGTCTTTTCCAGGGGGAGCTTTACTGCACTTTTTTTTTCCTTGTCATGGTTTTGTCCCAAAATGGATTTTCCATGATAAGGTTTTTAACGAGGCAGTACACGCGCACCGCGTCAATATAAATGGATAATCAAGGGGGAGTGTTATAAATATTTTGATTATACATTTGGATAGCTTTTTCTCCAAGCTTCTTAGCTTCTAAATATTCATCCCCTTTGGACATTCATCCTCCTTAGACATTTATCCCCCTTGGACATTCATCCCCCTTAGACATTCATCCCCCCTAGATCACTTTGTCCCTAAGTTTCTAAAGCTTTGTCTCCAAGCTTCTCCACTATATATAGGTGGGCTTGGCTTTGTAAACAAGTGATCTAGTGAAAGAAAATATAAGAGATCTCGATATTGTTTTTCATTCTCTATCTAACTCTCTCTCTCTAAGTCTTTTTTCTCTAGTGTTTATTTATATACGAACAAATTCCCGAAATTGTTCTTTACAATAATAATATTATAAAAGGAAATTTCTCAAACTTATTAGTCCAATTTTTTAAAATTCATATTTTTGGTATTATGTAATATCATTTTAATACAAAGAAAATATTTTAATACATACACCCAAAAAGTTTCAGCCCAGGCCCACTAGAGATTGATACCATTTATATGAAACGATACAGCTTAAACGGAAACCGAACGGTCTGATGAGGGGAAAAGGGCCAAAACTAACCCGAACTAAATTTGATGTGCCAAAAAAAATCCGAACTAAAATACGGTGCTAATAAGTATCTGAACTCTAAAATAATTCAAATTTCCTATCCGAACTCTAATATATGTGTCAAAATCTAGTTTGACTAACTTTGACGTGAGTCAACTGTTAAAAAATGCTGACGAGGCATGACGGAATATGACTTGGCATGACACGTTACCACCTTACTAAAATGATGTCGTTTTCGTTGTAAAAAAACATCTAAAATTTTTTTATTCCTTGGACTCAACCTCCACCATTGTAAACGACATTTAAGCATCCTAACCAACTGAACCGTGAGATATTATTGATTTTTCTTACAAATACATTTATATATTATTGATATGCATGTCTAAACTCGAAAAAAAAAGAACAAAACGACGACATATTCAATTGGGGATAAAATAAACTCTCAAAATCGAATTAGGGTTCGGAGAATTGGGTTCGATTTTGAGTTCGATTTTGAGTTCGATTTTGAATTCGGAGAATTGCAGCAGTAGAAGTAAAATAAACTCTCAAAATCGAATTAAAATTCGGAGAATTGGGTTGATTTTGAATTCGGAGAATTGCAGCAGCAAGGAGGCTTCGTTCTCTTTAGATCTCGATAGAGCAAACATGTTACTTTTTGTAATGGCTTTGATAATCTACGGGATATTACTTGTTCTCTTTAGATCTTATTGTAATGTTGCAATATATAATTATGTTTGTGAAAAATATCAATATTGTTTCACAGTTCAATTGGTCCACACGTTTAACTACATTTTTTTACAACAAAAACGATGTCGCTTTATTAAAGTGACTACGTCCATCTATTAACAGTTGATTAAAGTCAAAGTTAGTCAAGATAGATTTTAATACATATATTAGAATTTGGATAGTAAATTTGAATTATTTTAGAGTTTAGATAGTTATTAGCACCATATTTTAATTCAAATTTTTTTAGCACATCAAATTTAGTTCGGATTGATTTTGGCACTTTTTCCGTCTGATGAGTGGTGACTGATGAGTATCGACGACGGCCAGAACAAAGGAAGCTTTGTGTTACCGATGGGTTCGATGGAGACAAAGAACTCCGATTCCGATTCCTTCTGACTAAACTACCTCCTTCGTCTTCCTTTTTTCCTCCTTTTGTACCGATTCAAGCTATACTTAGATCCATCCTTTCTCGATTTCTTCGCTCAGAGGATCAGTTTTATTCGGAAATGGGTATACATTGTCGAAGACTTATGCTTTCTTTGTTCCTCGGGAGCTTCTAATTGAGCCTCCTCTGGAAAAAAAAAGACCCATCACTTGGATTTTCTAGGGTTTCGTCTTGTTCCTCTGTGTGGCTTTTGTTGATTCACTTGTTGTTACTAGATTGTTTTGTTGGATTCAGACAGTTCCTGTTTGAGTCTTATGGTATTCTTGTTTTGTGTTTCAGGGTCGGAATAAAAAGAAGAAGGGAAAAGTCCAAGTCCAAGTTTAGGTCGAAGGTAACAGGATTTTGTAAAGATATGGACAGAATCAGTGAGTTGTCTGATGAATTGCTGGTTAAGATATTATCGTTTCCTCCAACGAAAGTTGCTGTCTCCACAAGCATTTTGTCTAAACAATGGAAGCTTCTTTGGATGTGGTTGCCAAAACTTGAGTACAATGAACTTGATGACATCAAGGGTCCTGTCTCTTCCACAATTATGTATTGGGATTTTATCGACAAGAACCTGCCATTACATAGAGCTCCGGCCATAGAAAGCTTGCTCCTTAGATTCTATCGTGGTGAATTTCTTCAGCCTGAGAGTATCAAACGATGGGTTGAAATTGCGGTTTCTCGATGCGTGCGTGAGCTAAGTATCGATTATTATTGGCACAGTGATCACCTACATGATCTATCATTTCCGAGTAGTTTGTATACCTGCAATTCACTCATGACTTTGAAACTTGACGGTGAGAAGATTCTTGTGGATGTTCCTCGAACGGTTTGTCTCCCTTCCTTGAAAACCTTGCAACTTTGATTTGTGACATACTTAAATCAAGATTCTCTTCAACTGCTTCTATCCTGTTGCCCTGTTCTGGAAGATCTGCTTATTGAACGAGGAGATGGGGATGACAATGTGAGAGAATTAGTTGTTACTGTCCCATCTTTGCAGAGGTTATCCTTGAGTATAGATAGTGAATATTCTCCTGGTGGGTATGTGATCGCTACCCCTTCTTTGAAGTATTTTACACTTCAGGATGATAGAGATATTACTTTCTCTTGTTTGATTGAGGATATGCCTATGTTGGAAGAGGTAGATATTGATGTTGTACAAGATTTTGAGAAACTTCTGGAATCAGTCACATCCGTAAAACGTCTTTCATTACGCGTAGTTAGCAACCTTGAAGAAGAGGTAACCTGTTCTTCATTTGTCATTTTCAAGTTTTCAATATCGAACTCTAGATCATGTTTTCTTGAGACTGAAAATCTTTTTATTGCGCTTGTTCTCGTGTGTGCAGTTTCTGTCTCGTGTTGGTATTGTATTCAATCAGCTTGAACGTTTTAAGCTATGTATATGTTCTGAGCACTGGCCAAAGTTTCTTGTCAGGTTGCTCAGGAAGTCTCCTAAACTGCGAGTCCTCAATCTGTACATCGATGTAAGTTTTTTCATTTGCTATTGTCAGCTAAAAGCACTGCATGGTGTAATCTTGACTCTCTATCTTTCTGTCTTCTTTTCTTTTATCGCAGACTTCTGTAGAGCGGTATGATTATCACCCGGTTCAGTGGAAAAATATGTGGAAGAATGAACGGAGGAGCTCTGTTCCTGAATGTTTGTCGACGAGTCTCGAAACTTTGGAGTTTGCAAGGTACTGTGGAACACAAGAAGAGAGAGATTTCATGAGTTTTTTCTTCGAACACGTTCGTTGCTTGAAGTCTATTTCAATCACTGATTGATATCCACTGTAGAAACCTGAAAACAAGAGTGGTCGCATTCCATTCTGAATTTTGGGTTTGTTTTGTTGCAAGAAAAAGTATGTAATTCAACTGAATGTGGAATTGGAACTTGCTTTCAAACCAAGCTTTGAGTACCTTCTTATCACGTGGGTTAATTTTTCTATGTTGTATGACCTTTAATGATTAATATATGTGTGTGCCTTACAACTCAAATTAATCTCTGTTGTGGAACTATACGTCTCCTAAACTATAGTCTCTAAAGCTTGATGGTTATATCCAATACGAATCACGTAACCCTTTGATTGTTTTTTTTTTTGTTGGTAAACATCCTGTGATGATTGTATAGTCTTTCGACTCCATATGTGTACGTAAATTAATGAAAACGTTAGAAAAATCGCTTATTTGTTATAATATTATTGGCCAGAAATCCCTTTATTCTAGCTCTTTGCCACATTGATGATGTTTATTTTACTTCAAATGTCACACGCTGAATTTACGAAATATGATTGGTTAAGAAATGTTGACTCAGTATATGTTTTTAATTTTATCTGTATAAAAATTATAAATATCCGAAAAAATTAAAACGAATAAACACGCGGATTTTTTATACCCGATCTGACACAATTTATTTTCTCTGTAAAACATTCAAAGATCCAAACGAAAATAAGACCCATTTATTCAAATTTTTAATAATTATTATGTCTTTCAATCTGTTTTCGCCGAATAAGGATTTTTTTTAAAAAAATGAAAAACTATATATTTATTAGTAAGATTTACTGATATTAATGTAACAGAATATACTCAAAGGTGACTGAGCTATTATTCAATCGGTTAGATTCCATTTTAATATATACACATCACATTTGACAATTCAATTAATCTGAAATATTAAATGTTAAATATTTCTGGAACTATACATATTTCTATGCACATTCTGAATATCCTCATTCTGAATTTCATTCTTTTTTAAAAAAATAATAATAAATATCTGGCCAAACATCAATAATTTAGGTTTTTTCATTAATTTCTTCTCCATATATATATATATAAGCATTCCTTTTTTTTGAACGGCTAATTCATTAATCATTCAAACTTCTACAAAGAAGTAGGGGTACACGCCAAGGCGTTTTTTGCGAGAGAGACGGCTAAACTGTTTGCCGTTCTTGATACAAGAGAGAAAAACACAAATTGAAACTGTGATATGAGATTTTCGATATCACCGAGGATGCCAAAGCACTCTTTGATCGATTCCTTTCGAGTGATTGCATTGATCAGGGTTTGGCAGTCGGATTTGAGTGAAATCTTAGTGAATCCAAGTCGTGCTGCATGTTCCAAGGCTGATCTAACCGCGAGGGCTTCTCCAACAAGAGGAGAAGAGACATTGCCATTGAAATCAGATCCCTGGTGTATCGTCGAGGAGTTTCTGTTGATGATCCATTCAGATCCTGAGGCTCGAAGGTCTTCTTTCCAAGCTGCATCAGAGAAGATTTCGACTGTATCTGTCGGGAGGCTATGTAAGACTTTCCCTGATGTAGATCCCTTAGTATCCACTTTTATCTGCGCTGTTTGCCAATCTCTTGCTGATACAATTGCTTTGATCATTGTTTCCTCCTCAGATATGCGTATTTCAAATGAGAGAGCATTGCAGGCACGCCAGATTTGCCAGCAGACCCAAGGGAAAAGTGGTCCTGAAGTTATTCCTGTCGGTGGGAGGCAGACAGCTCTGTGTCCTGCCTGTAGACCTGCTATGAAGGATTGGCGATCAGAGATCCGTGGATTCATAGAGAAAGGTAAGAGGTCCCATATTTTCTTTGTGTAGGAGCAATGTAGGAAGAGATGTTCTGCGGTTTCCATTTCTCCACAACGGAGGCATGGACCGGCTGCTTGGAAACCTCTTTTAGATAGGTTTTCTCCTGTAGGAAGAGCCCCTTTGATAATCTTCCATAAGAAAGTCTTCATCTTAGGAGAGAAATTTCCTTGCCAGACTAGAGAATTCCAACAGAAGCTTGTAGAGTTGGGTTCGCGAGTAGTTGGCCTAGCTTTGTCTATAACAGATAGGTGGTAACCTGTCTTGGTGGAATAGTTCCCAGACTTTGTAGCTAGCCAGATATGGGAGTCGCAGACCAAGGTTTTGCTTGGTTTTATGGCCTTGATTGTACTCAGGAGATCAGGAAAAAGCTCATTGATCTTATCTGTGTTCCAATCCTTCGATTGCTCCTCAATTAGATCTGACACCTTCAAATCTTTTGATGCTTCTGTAGGGGGTCCGGTGGGAGTGAGTGGTTCGGTTGAGGAGAGCCAAGAGTCATACCAAATGTTAGTAGATTCACCATTGCCTATGGCTTTACCAAGGTTCCTGCGTAAAAGATCTCTTTCGACAAGAATTCCATGCCAGCCATGCGGTGCAGAGGCAGTGTTTTCCACTCGAAGAAAATCCTGGTGTTTGCAATATTTCCCGATGAGAACTCTTGCAAGCAGGCAGGTGGGATGTTTAAGGATTCACCAGCTGATTTTTGCGAGAAGGGCATCATTGAAGCTCTCTATGTCCCCGAAGCCAAGACCTCCATCTTTCTTCGAACATGTGAGTTGGTTCCATGTAACCCAACACATCTTTTTGATTCCATGTTTAGAGTCCCACCAAAACCTAGTTAAAGCTGATTGGATTCGCTTGTACAGGCTCTTTGGAAGTTTGAAACAGGTCATGGTATAGGTGGATATATATAAGCCTTCCAAAACCCTAAAACTATATCATTCTCTTCATAAAATGTCTATAGTACGTAGACGTACAGCCGCTATAGTTCCTTTTGCAAAATTAGATCCTTCCAATGAAATTAAGAAAATTAGGACTAATATATTTTCCATATGGAAAGTGAAGAACAGACATTCGGGGTTTATAATAGAAATAGTTTTGGTGGACGAAGAGGTCTATGTTCCATTTTATGTTATTTCCGCAATCTATATAGATTAGATACTCATACTATGTTATTATTATTTGACAGAGAACTAAGATTCACGCCATGATTGATGAAGAGTTGATCGGAAAACATAAGGGCCTTCTTATTAAAAGAAAATCACTTTCAATTAATTGCTTCTTATTGAAAGAGTACTATGGTAATATTAGGACTACTCCATTACCATTCAAGATCTCTTTATGCAAAACCACTCGGGCGAAGGAAATTACTGATTTCGCATCAAACTTTCCTGAAAAATATTAGACTGATTTTAAGTCAATCAATGACGACTAAGTCGACAAAAACGTTCTCATTTGGTATGTTTTCTTCAAATTTTGAAAAATATCATATTTTATCATTAAATGCAAATCTTTCTTACTGAAAATGCTATTGGATAAATTGTCACGGTGGAGAGTATGGAAATTATCGGAAAAAAGGCAAAAGTGGGATCAACGAGAAATTAATGATAACACTACGTGATACCAAGTAAGTTCTAATATCATACAAAATATTCAGAAAATCTTATAACCATGCGACGTTGATATGCTTTTTTGCTCAAGTGATGTTCAACTGAAATGTACTCTATGGGGACAACATGCAAAGACGATTGTTGAGTACACTAACAAACATATGTATTCTATCGTTGTTTGTCTAATGTGTTTTGTCTGTAAATGTGAGATCAAAATATAGTTATTCATATGCACACCATTTTGGAAGTTGATATGGCATTAACTTGATATCATGTATGTTATTTATTTTTATTTTTTTGACTATGGGTGATATATCAATATCAAACTCTTTCAACTCCACAAAAATTTTGTTTGATCCTGACGTTCAGATTGTGAAAGACTTCAAAAAAAAGTATATTTTGACGTGATTTTTTAAACACAGTTTTCTATTTATTAAATAAATGTGTGTGGTTTATAGGTTGCCAAAAAACAATCAATAGATTGTTCATGCTGAACAGAGTTATTCGTCTTCTTGGGATGGTGCGATTGACTATCGTGAAAAAATTTTAGGTGTCAAGAATAAGAGGTGGAAAATATCTGGAATTCGTGAAACAAAATTGGTTTGAGATAGAACTTACTTATGTTAAAAATGTATTTATATTTTAAAATGATACATATTAATGGTTTAATTACAGTCCGACAAGATTATAACTTGCGTAACAGTCAAAGACGTCGACACTTCAAAGCTATGGTATAATTCGGCTTCCAAACCTTGCAACATCAAAGTTCTAGAGCATGACATCTTGTATGATGAAGAAGATTACGATAAGTGGATTCCTCTTTTCAGTTGTAAAAATTGTGGAGATATACTTTTCATTAATTTTATTCATATTATGTGGTTGTGGCAAGGTAAGATATATAATCATCCCATTATATTTAATGTAAATTCATTACATTTCAAATAACTGAAATTTCCGTTCCCTACATAATAATATAGGTACTATATCGTATTATTGGTTACTGATGAATCAGGCCTCGATGTCCGATTCCTGATGTTTGATGACACTGCTCAAAAATGTTTAGGTCATTCAGCTGAGTCGATAATGAAACAAACTGATGAGGTGATTCCTTAAATCCTTATATATAATATGCATTATTTACATGGTCTGATATTATATTAATATGGGGTATATAATATTGTATAAGGTTTACCAAGATGGACTCCCTGATGGCTTGACTAAGCTCCTAACAATGAAGATTTTTTTCAAAATAACAGTTTCATAAGAACATACTAAAAGAAGTCAGTCTCCGTTTGTATTTATTTATGGTCTCATGATGTGGATTTTATGATTGAATGGGATCCTTGATCAGAGGTAATATATTATAAACTTCAACGAGTTAGCAAGTCTGCTATTTGGATAATTATTTTTAAGTAAGTCTTAAACAATGTTATCTATTTCAGCAATCGTTGATGCTTACAAGTTCTGAGGAACTTGATAATCATTCGTCTGGTTCTTCTCTGACTCCTGCATCTAAAAAGAAACTGACGAGTCCCAAATGTTTTGATGAAATAGAAGGTGAAAGATCGGTTAACAAAAAGCGACCTAAGCAAGAAGTTCTGATGAAGTTATGAAGAATTATATTTCGGTTTTGTGATTATTGCTTTTGAACTTTCTAAAAATTTTAAGACACCATAACGTTTGTACTCTATTCGTATTTTACTTTATTATGGAACTTCAATGTAGACATAGATTTCAATAATTATTTCATTCTTACTCTAACTTTTTTTGTGATTTTCATAAGTTTGAATAACCAACTGTCATAAACCTGGAACTTTAAATTGCAAGGAGACGAATAAAAAATATAACTGTTTTACTCCATAAAATAAAAAACCTTTCATTCCCTTCTTAGCTTTCATCTTCACAAAAAAAAAAAAAACAGAATGTCTCTTTGCGAAAGAGTTTCTGATCTTTAGAAGTCAAACTGCGGAAATCGTATTTGCGTCCAAATACTAAGAGATTACATGAATTATTCGTCCACAGATCGCCCTGATCGGATGTTAGTTCTTGACGATGAATTTGTAAGTTTTGAATGTATACAATACGTCAGTATTCCTTGGGATGTATTTGTTTATTCTAGATGGAGAGGTACTTAAATAGCAACTATGTCATTTTTTTTAATTTTTTAAGAAACAGTTTTATATATTTATTTACCCATATGCTGACTATGGTAATGTAAATAGATGAGTGGATAGTTAAATCTGAAAGATTCATATCTGATATTGTCGAGGATCCTCCTATTCCAGAGGTGGAAAGAGCTAAGTTGAGGTATGTGTATCTTTTATTTTTTTTGTGGTATTTATAGGTATAGTATTTACTTCAATTTTTTAAAATTTTGAAAATTTGTAATATTATTTCAGGCTTGCAAACTCAATTGATTTTATTCCTGTCTATGATGAATATGAAGAACAGTCTTCGTAAACTCAAGATCGTTTTCTATTTATTATAGTAGAAGTTGACTAAATAAAAATAGTACTTTTCTTTGGTTGTAATTCTACTATTTTCTTCATTTAATATATCTTCTAATATGTGTATTTGTGTCAGAAATTTTTCAATATTTTCATTTCCTTTTTTCAAAATCAATGTGAGAGTAATAAATTGAAGGGTCCAGTTTTAGTTTGTGTATTAGAAGCAACATTAATAATTTCTAGTCACATATATTCATTTACGCAAAACTAAACACGTCACAATTGAATATATCACCATCGACTATAGAAATTAATAGTAAATTTTTAAAATAAAGTAATTGACGCAATGAAAGAGAAATAGGCATTAACAGATGTGACATTGTTCTACCATCTTTACATATTGTTGTATGTATACTATAGGTAAGTTATAGGTTGACTATACCTAGAAAATTAAATACAAGCTGTTCGATTTGTTTGCACATCACTCGGTGCAATAAATGTCAAATGTTACAACTTTTGGATATCGTTCTAAAGAGACTCAACCTTTTAAATCATATACTTGCTTTGCTATTCATATAAAGCATTCATAAACGTTTGGAAATACCGTCTGACCATCTTAATAAACCAAAAAAAAAAGTTTCCAGAAAACAACCAATTTTTTAGAGCATGCCTCGCTACTGCACCCTAGAGTATCTTTCTCCCACAAAAACTGATTCGAGAATTCTTATAAAAGTACTTCAAGTTTGGGATGAGTTCAACTATTGGAATTACCGCCAGTAAATCCATCTTATTCTGGATGACGAAAATGCAAGATCTATTTAAAATACATTTTACTCTGTTGCATGTTATGAAGATTTTAAACCATGAATCTCTTATATAATATTAATTGCTTCACTAATTTAGGGCTCTAAAATAGATCAGGATCTCATTTCTGTTCTCGGTCCACAGTTTAAAGAAGGAGAATGGAATTATGTGAAATTCTTCAATGTTGTCAATGAGTTCGGATCTTTCAGAAATACCATCAACAACCACTACATCATCATGATTGCTGATACTGTTGTAGACAAGACATTCCAAGTTAATCTTAAGCATATGATGGATTTTATGTCATTTGATGGCTATTATCAAAGGGGATCTCACTCTTGAGTACTCTATCGGTTTGTCTTCTCATCCTTCTTACTGGTACTAATGTATTTATTAAGAATGTTGTTGTTAAAATTTATTTTCTTAGTAGACTTGATCGTCGTTATCATTGATGTTGATGATGAACTAAGTACTGACATTGATGACCCCTACGAGATGATTTTTGGACCTTCTCACAAAGTTAACATTCAGATAAGGGACATGAAGTAAGATGTTTGATATTTTCATCTATATGTGTTAAAGAAAAAAAATCTTTTTTAGTCCTACATATGTATCTTTCTTAAGATTGTTCTAAAATCAATTGTTTCTTTTAGTTTTGTTGATATCGACATCAAACTCACTGGGAGAACTGCTCTGGATTTCGAGAAGAAGTGAGAAGAAATAGATACTCACTAAACCGTCCTGATTTTGAGGATGTTTCGTCTTACCTATGATTCTCAAGGTTGGTCCTTTATTTTTTTCTGTAATGGAAACCTTAATTTACAATATCTTAATATGATCAACGGCTATTAAAAAAGAAAGCTTTAGTTTAAAAATCATATAGGGAGATTTCGCATAGGAAATGCTAGAGACCAATCTGAAATACTTTTCAGTCCTCACATCAAAGAAGTTTTTGATTTTTGACTGGTAATTTGAAATTTCTTAATATGTTTTACATGATTTATGGTAAAATATCATCTTATTGTACCATTT